ATCCCGAGCAACCTTTTCGGGGAAAAAAAAAAATATCATCACTGTAAATTCGCAAAGCGTAAAATAAAACGGAAACGACGAGCCAAAAAATTTACCAAAGTGCATAGATTTTTCTGTAGTTTTTCTGTACTTTTAATAAGGTCATAATATACTTTTTGTATTTTAAATATATATATAGCTTTTCATGTGCAGCTGCTGACGAACAAAAAGTTAACATCACCAGAAATATTCAGCTGTATCAGATTCTTTGAATGGTATTAAAGAGCTTTAGACACACGTGAGAGAGAAGACGAACTGTAAAATCTTCAGGTGAATGTTTCGGCAGTAGACAGTTCTCTCGAAGATAAACGGAAGAGAGGATGGGAGAGAAAAGTGATGCCTCGCCATGGAATAGCGATGAAAGTCGGAAAGTTAAGCGTCTTATGGGATTCTGCAAGTTCGAGGTATTTCGTGGGAAAAGTGCCTTCTATGCCGACGTGCCTCGTGTGCGGAGATGCGCGAAAATGCGCCATTGATTTTTATCCGTAAGAAGTAGGCTTCCGTGAACTACGGAAGACAGAATGAGAGGCGAAGGAATATCCTGATACTAAGCAGGTGCACATTCTGAAATGCAAAGATGATGAAAATAAGGGCCCGATAAAGAAAAACTGTCTCGAATTTCTTTCAGCTGCTCGTAACGGCAAACATCCATCTTATCGTAAATAATTCATATACATGTACGTATATATTTGCATTATCTTATAAAAATTATACTTAGCAATATATTTCATGATTCGGTTTTTCATGTTTTGTGTAACGGCACTGGCAGTAAGTATTTGAATACAAACGACTTTCTAAATATTCCACGATAGTTCCTCCCTGTAAAAAATGTTATGGAATGTTACGAATAAGTTATTTGTTTATCATATAAAACTGTTGTAGAGGTAACTGTGCATACTTTCATATTTTCTATGTATATTGTACATTTCACAGATAGCATCCGACGTACGCTCAAACAGAATCACACAGATATCAGCTATTTTTCTTTTTTTCTTTTTTTTATGTATTGACCATTACTCGAGAGTTTGGTCACGAGATTCTCTACAAATAGTTTTACGAAATATTTTACGTGGTCAAATATGCGCACACATGCGTTTGGGTCACTTGTCCGAAAAAAAAGTCCGTTTAAAAATGAATAGATGTACCTACATAGCTACGCGGTATGTGGTCACCAATCAAATTAATCCATGCTCTTATACGTCTTTTTTAAACATGATTTTTTTTTTATTTGTTCATCTCCTTTGTTTTGATCTCTTCGCTTCATGGCACTCCCTTATTCTGCGCGAACAGCTCGCTCGGGGCAACGTGATCGGAATACTCATCTCTAATTCAGATCTGTCGCGACACGGACGTTCCTAAAAGTGTGCGACGGAGGGGTATATAAAGATAGCAGGCCTTCCGAGTCCTACAAAGACTTACTCCAGGAGTCATTCTTGCAAACGGAACTAGCGAAAAGGGTCCAGATGCAACTGGATTGAACTGAATAAAATATTGCTGTGATACTTAAGCCCTTGCTCGTGAAATTGTTTCGCTACTACAATGTACATAGATAGATATCTTCGAAGAAATATTACTTATCACCTTTATAAAAATAAAAAATCAATTTACTCAGCTCTGATGACGCACGAGTGTAAACTCACTCATTCACACACAACACACCACACACACACACACACACACACACACACACACACGAATCTGTTTTTTTCTACGATAATACTGCTTTCATCATTCTGTTTTTCTAAACGTTCATCTGGTTCGTTCGTGTTTTCGACGACTTAATATCTCTCTCACATGCAATGCACATATTCGGCAGCAGTTACAGCATAAAAATCCGACGAAAATAAGCATGACTGAAAATAAGCGGCGACCGAAAATATTCACCCCAACTTGGGGGATGATTCGATGATTGAAGGAAACGTCACATGGAAGCATAAATTTAGAAGTGGCATTAATATTTTCTCCTCCTCTCTCGAGATCAATCCGTAGATTCAAAAACTCGGGACATCTGATATTTCATATTAAAAGTCTCTGTCCCACGTCACCCCAGTGCTATCACGGCATTTTTGTTCGGATTTGGTTGCGTGCGTGAGGGACGCGGCATTGTGTGTACCCAAGAACTTCCCCAAGAAATCTGGCTGATTCACTTTCTAGGGCTCCCCAAACGCGAGAAATGTGCATGCCACACATGCGCACGTCGTCAGATCGATATTTATGAGACTTTATAATTGTGTTTCCAAAATATCTATCGTCTAAATTGGCATTCGATCTCACGATTCTCCCATTCCCTATGCGGTAATAAACGAAGTTTATACGATCAATTCATACATGTATGTATAACTGTCTACGCGTAGCTGAAATCTGAACATATCTCGGATTGCATTTCCATTTCCCTGCGAATTAAGATTTACGAACAAAATTCCAACGGATAGGTTCCCCGTAGGTACGTAAAGCAATTACTTGCGCAGGAAATATTGCGGTTTTGAAAGCTTATATCCCACATGAGGAACAGATCCTTCAATTGCGCTACAAAATCCCGATACAAAGATATATTCCAATTATTAGTCTTTCAATAAGAATAAACATATTGATTATTCTTTTTATATTGAATTTAATCTGATGTCTCTTTCGATAATAATCGATATTCGTTTTGTAATAGTTGTATATACTTGCAATTACTCTCAGAATTATTATAATTATCAATATCAAGTAGAACGTCAAGAGTGCGGCGTATTCGAAATACGTCTCATTAACGATAAACGGTTCGAAAATCATATTATTCTAATAGCTATACTATATATGTATTAGAATCAAATATGATAATCGTAGTTAAACCCTAGATATGGCTGAAATAGGCTAAGTACGCTATATTCGGAAAGCTCAAATCTGAAGAGCAAAGCACTTCGTGGTTGTGCTTGCCGACGCCATTCTCTATCGTATGGAAGCGTGTGGAAATTCAAAAGCGCATGTTTGTCGTCCACTCGGCGAACCCTTCTGGAAATTGGTCCGGTGTCACCAGAGAATTTCAGTACCCTCTCTTGTGTGGTCCTGTCCACGCGGGGTGCAAGAGAATCCAGTAAAATTAAATCAAGGGGCTTTCGTCCTCTTGCCCGTCGGAAAGCCGCGGGACAGCTATTACACTACGTACTTTGTATTAGTACAGATATATTCGTGTAAAACCGTCGAGCATAATAACTCGTATTTAAATGTTATTGATATCCCAAGAGCTACGGTACATGCTTCGTCCAATTTCGATAAATGCGGTATATTTTCAAAAATAAACACGATATCCCTGTATTAATTTCTTGCGCTATATAATGTATAAAGATAATTTAAATATAAAGTAAATTATTTGACATAAATGTTAATTCCACACGGATCTGTAAATGTGGTAAATTCCGAAAAATAAATAATTTCTTCCAATCAATATTCTTTAAAAGTTTTTATAAATTTTTCCGTACCATTGGAGCGTTTGCGCGTTTAACGCAGCATTGTAAATCTTCAGAATCTAGGCCTCTAACATCGCCCGATTTTCAGGAAATAGTAGAATGGATACCGCAAGCTATATACGTTGGATAGCTTCCAGTACGCGACTGCAGCAGCTTTGGGGTCGAAATATCGCGACGGTTGTGGGGTTAGTATTACTGATATTAGCGTCGCCAGTAACTCTTTCGAAATAGCCTTGGCACATACCAAACCCGTGTTAACTTCTTCCTTTTCTTGAATCACGTTTTGTGTTATGGCTCCCATTCTCAAGCATTCTTTGATATAAATATCATCGCAGAGATTAAGTTTGAATAATTATAGACTTCGTAAATCGACAATAAACGCATGACATGACTGCTGTTGTAAAGTTATTATATTTTTGTCTCAATGAGAACTTTTTATTAATGAATCATATTGTTCTCGACGAATAGCGATCGATACCATGTTGAAATGTAAAATCCATAGAAAAAATTTATAAAACATTTTAAAATAGTGATAAATAATTAATAAACAAAATAGCTACAGAGTTAATAGATCTTCAGGAATAAAATTTTTCTATGCCTCACTAGATATCAAACGGACGCATTTTTTTCAAAATGTCGATGTACAAGCCGTCGATCTTTTTTCAGATTCTGTTTCACCACATCATACATCAATAGAAGAGGGATTGAGAACGAATACCACCGAACTCGATTCTGCGCTCGTATGACGCTTTTTCTATTTACTTTGGTTTTTTGTCCGAGACTATTCCTCTAGCTTCATATCTTTCTTATTTTTAATATATACCTGCTATTTCAATAACAAAGCATAAAGGCATACACTCTGTCAGCGCGACGTAACAATAGAAGTCAAAATTTTTGTCTCATGCTAACTTCCGTCTTAGTATAATCGCAAGATATACTTGTTGTAATAAACGAAATAATATATTGTACAGATATTATTATAAAAAGATATTAATATAATGATATCTTATTATATTAAATATATAAGTTAATTCTTTCAACATTCACGTAAATAGAAAAATATATTATTTTATATACAAAATTATTTAAAAGAAAAAATAGATGAAATTAAAGTGATTAAAATATAAATACACATATATATAACTACTTAAGCTTCTATCATTATTTTCTGTGAAAATTTTCTATATACTTTATGTTTGAAAAAATGTTACATCAGTAACAGACATTCTTAGCGCGTAGAAAACGTTTCCTTTTCAAACGAAATCATAAATTATTCCTTCGCAATATGATTATACCGAAAATATAATACGACATTTATGTTGCTTGCTGATATATGAGAAAATTTTTTTTTTATACAAGTATATTTCATAATATGACATATAGATTTTCGAAGAATTTGTTCCGTCATATTACTAAACCTATATTTGATAATACGATTGCAAATAATGAATAAGTCATGCGAGCGCAAAATCAATTTTTATGTTAAACATAAAAATAAAGTATGTAACTCACCAGTCGTCGAAGTCCGCAAACCGAGTTACAGGAATTACGAATGCACTTGGTAGTTTTATTAGCAGCACCGTTTCGAAAATATCTTGAGGTCTGAAAAGATGACGTGTTCTCGTCATTCAACAATTCTAGAAACGAAACGGGATGCAAATTAGCTGCTCTACGCACTTTACACTGACACGACGTCACTAGCACGCTGTCTTGTTGACGAAACTTATCACGTTTATTTCCACATATCACCACAATTCCGTCATAATATTTTATACCGTATAATGTTCATTTTCTCATAATATTTGTCATTAATAGCACACCGCTCATCAACCTCGAATATTTATATCCATGTATGTATATATATATGTATATATATATATATATATATATTTTTTTTTTTTTAATGCTTAGAATGGGGGATATAAAATTTATAGCATATACATAAGCATATACATAAGTTTTAACATAAGATCCATATTTTGGATTCCTATCTCTAGAAAAAATAGTTATATTATACGTTACGTTATTTCCTTGTTTATATCTAAAGTTAAATTTCTTGAATAACCCACATTTCTATAAGCAAAATATTAATCATTCTACTTTGATGCGAATGCATTCGTTGCTTTCACGTATTTTTTTTTTCACAAAATAAATTACATCAATAAGATATGAGATAATTCAATGTATCTTATTAAATCCGTAAGAAAATTTTTAAATTAAAACACGATATTTCAACACCTATACGCGCAAAGACGTCATTCATGTTGTGACATTCGCATTGAGAAATTCAGATTACCTCTGCAATATTACCATTCAATATAATCAAACATTACAATCGTTGAGCTTCCAGCAATCTATAAACGTAAGCTCTTTTTATTGGTTATTGGCCGCGGTCTCTTTCGCGCTTACACGCGAGCCCATTCACTGTGTAACAATGTCGGGTAGACGGTTTAATTGCGAATTATCGAGCCATTGCGAAATTCAATTGCCGTGTAGGCTCTACTCACGAGTCTCGCTCGCACGCGTCGCACACAGATGAAATCGTGCGTATAAAACACCTCGCTGATGTCCGACGCGTGTCCATACGATCTTTCGCATTTTCATGATAAAATTTGATTTACTAAACACTCATTTTATCACTACACATTTTATCGTACACGTTACGCTTAGTTTACATAATATATAAAATATTGGAGATGCGTATAAAAGCTGTCTTGCATAGAGACAAAGTTTTTTTCATATTACTATCTATAGTATCAAAATATAAAAATAATAAAAAATATAAAAATAATCGTGATCATTTACGATTTATCGCAAAAGGATCTTTAGTTGACAAATGGCAAATTGTATACAGAAAAACGATTTTGTTGAAGTATCTAAAATTTAGATAGATATAAATCTGAAAATAATTTTATTGGACCATCAAAATAATTCTACAAAATGCTCAAACTGGTTACTAGAATTTTTTGCAGCATTGCTCATCACGTTTTATTACAAAATTATATTAACGTTTTGATTAAAATGAAATAATTTTCAGATATGTATCTAATAAAATTTTTAGATACTTTAACAAAATCATTTTTCCGTGTAGCAATAAATATAATAATCCACTTGAATTATTTTATACTATTATATTGTCCTATCGGTACAACAATAGTTATAGCAATGTAAAACTTTTTAATAAAATATCTCGTTAATCTATATGTTTATGAATTGTATTTTGATTTTCAATTAATTGTATAAAAAAATGTTATTTCCAAATTAGATGATAAATTGTTTTCAAAGTACTTTTCAAATTTCTAGAATTAAAAATATAAAAGGGAATGCGAACACATGCAAGGCAAAAAATATTTCATTTTTAATTAAATATTAAAAAAAAAATTTTTAATTGAATGGTCGGAGAAAAAATATTTTCATTAAAATAAATTTTGTAAATCAATGTTCTCTTAATTTAACTTAACAAAGCTATTCAAAAAGTCAAAATTTCTAACAAACATGACAAGCATTAAATATTTTATTTTTTAATTCGCTATTCACAACGTACGATGTTTTTTTGATAATGATGAAAGACCTTAAATTTTTAATAATTTAGTCACTATGCTGAACGCAAAATCTATTCATTTTTTAATTAATACGATTATTACAGCACATTTAATTATAATAATTATTTTCATTAATATAATTACTTGCCATTTAATATTAATTAAGATAAACTTCTGACTAACTTTAAAAAGCCAATAAATTAAAGTATTAAAACATAATATTCCAATAATAAAAATGAAAATATTTTAAAACTGATTGAACTAAAATTAACGGGCTGGGTAAACCATTATTTTACGCTTTTATTAAAAGTATATATATATATCTATTGAGAATAAATCGTAAATTAATGATCAAATATAACAAAGGATTAAATCGTAAATTAATGGTCGAAAACAATAAAGGTTCTTATAACAAATCAATTCTTTTTAATTTCATATATACTGCACATAGCATTTTCCGTGCATTGCCCTGAAAGCAACGACCTCTAATTCCGGATGATTAATTAACAACAAGATATCAACTCTGTAGAATCAAATACCTTCCACCTTGTTGAATTTCAGAAACTAAGCTTATAAACGTTTGGAATAATAAAATGTAGCAAATCTGAGCTTTCGTCTCTACAGTCACACGAAATTTCAATTGATAAAAGCACTTTCGAATTCTCCACTACATCTCGCTAAAAGACACTCCAACCAAAATAATCCAACTAACTCGAAAACGCTTCGACACTCAGTTCCACGAATCCCAACGAGATAAAGCTACGAGGGAACGCAACCGTGATCGACAGGTGCTCCAAAAAGTTCGCCGGCAATTCCGCGATCTCAATCGATTGCAACGGTTCACTCAGCGATCTCGTGAAAAGGGCGTATCGATCGATTGCTCGCACACGATCCGGAAAGATGTACGTCCATCACGCAACGATATACACACGCGTTCGTTAGAAATACACGCACTACCGCGAAACCGCAAAGTGCTCGCGGACGACGCAAAAGGACGAATGAGCGGAAGCTCTGCGCTTGAAAGCTCGCAAGCCCCACCGCCCTTTCGGCGCGTGCGGACTAGAGCAAACTTGACCGATCGTAAGCGACCGACGCCGAGAGTGCACGAAGAGCCCGATGGTCGGGAGGGGTTTGACATATCGCTGCGAGATAATTAATCGGTGGAAATATAATGCCTGATCAAGAGTGTAAAGCTCTTGCTTTTTTTTCTCGCATGAATCCGTTATATGCGCAAAGCTGAAAAAACGAAGAAAACGCTTCTCGAACGAGAAGCAGCTTATGATGGAGTGATGTCGACTATTTAAAGTCCTTCGTAAAAAATTATTAAGCTCCACGTATTTAATTTTCTCGCACTTTTGTCCATTTTATTGTCTCTTTTTATGAAATTTCAAGTAAAAAAGAAACATTTATGTGAAAATTGTTTGTAAATATAAATTATTATAACATAAAACACTCTATACGTCCGTCTCCACAAAAATATATTTGTTCGTTACAAAATGATCAGTGTGTATATGTAACTTATAACAATTAACTTTAACATGTATTTACATAGAATAGTAGTGATTATACCTAAATAGTTAACCTATGTACGTAGATTGCTTGAAAGTATCTTCAAATTTTGAACGCCTTCTAAATGTATTACATCGTTACAATAACGCGCAATCCATTTAAGATACTTTTACTTTTCGCGTAGAAATAAAAGAAGACTGTCGTTGGATCGATAAAACGGAGCGACAATGAGATAACGTTTACGTGTCCGCTGGAATCCACAGGCAGCATCGAAAAGCTCCGAGTCTCGAAGCATGCTACCAAGCAGGCAATTGATCGGTAACCAATTTACGACTAGCGCCAACCAGCGACCTGTGGACGGTATTTTACGCCTCGTAAAAAAAAAAGAAAGCAAGCAAAGAGACGAAAGGTGAGAGCAAAAAAAAAAAAGATGGCCTGCTCCAATCGAATTCATTTCCATCCGTGCACAAGTACTGAATCTGCCGGCTTGGACGAGCGATTTCCTCGTGCGTAAAATTCATTGTCGATACCCTTCCGATTGATCGTGATAGTGGAGCATGGCCAACCAAAAGCGAGAACAAAGAAGCTTACCGAAAGCGAACGGAACGGTATCATCTAACCCTTCACTGTAAATTTTTAGTTAATCCCGCGAGCTGCGAGGTGATGTGCCTGATGTGACTGACAGTTAGAAAATGATAAAAGAAAAACAGAATAGATATTTAAGATAATTAAGTTACCATGACATAAAGTAATGTATTTAGGATTTGCGGACATGGAAACGTATGGGTAAAATGCAGCAAATAAGCTTTAGCGGAAGCTTCAATCGTTGATGAATACGTTCTTCCGTGGTCGGATAATTAAATACCAACCGTTTGTACAAGCTTTGATCCCTCCAATCAGTACGTTGCAACGTATTCTAGTAAAGTACGCAATCCTCTGTATGCTTCAAAGTCTCTTACGCTTTCATGGAATAAATTGGAATACACTTTGAATGTTTAATGCTTAGACACCTACCAGGAAAAACCGTGTCCTTTTTTTTCTTCAGTTCATCCTACAACAATTTGGAAGTTCCCTATAATTTCTTACAGTAGATAATATTGTATTAAAGTTCCAGGCTAACTAAATAAAATTGTCTTGCTGCAGGGATATTACTCTTCTATAGAACATTCAGATCCTTTCCAATTATATTATTAAAATAATTTTTTAATAGATTATGTTTCCCTCTGATTTTAATATATTAAAATGATAATAATTTTCAATAACATATATTGAAATACTAATAAGCAAAAATTGAATAAATAATTTTATTACAGACATAAAATAAAACAAAATTATTTATATTTCTTTTTTTTTTAAGAAAAGATTAGAATCGATCGAATCATTGGTAAAATACGTTAGATTAATTAACAGCGCATACAACACAAGACATCTACTATAATCTTATTATTTTTTTTTTCCTTGAAAATTGCGTCGGCCATCTGAAGCCCTTTAATTTCACAAAGTAACACATGAACGTGCGTTTGAGGCGGAACGAGGCCGAGGCCGGCGGCGATGCGCTTCGCTCATCAGGACCGGTATAACCATGATACTAGAGTTACTCGTCAAATATTTACCCCGAGTGATGCTGGCGCCAGGCAAGTGGTATCCCAGCTGATCCAGCTTCGGCGAAGCGAGAATACGCAGCGTGAAAAATGTTCCATTTAATTGTTGATAGATAGGTGAGCGGACTTTCGCCGCAATTGAATAACGTCTTTACGTTCAAAGGCAACGGACCTCTCGCAAAACGCGTTCAATTATTATCGTTTCATCTTGAACCTCGTTTTTCTCAAGAGCATTTGCTGAAGAAATCTGATGCGATAGCAGTCTATACGAGAAGTCAAGATTTATTGTAGAAAATACGATAAAAGTGTTTATAAAAGATACACTTCTTAGTTATTGCTGCAATTAATAAACAAAACTAAACATGAATAAAATAATAAGTACATTAATATTGCAAGTTGTTTACAACTGCAATATAATGTAATTACATGTGTTTTAATCAGTATACATTCTTATGCTTTAATCAATGTATACAATTCTTTGTGTGTGTGTGTGTGTGTGTGTGTGTAATATTGTTAGAATACACTGAGAGAAAAATAAGAATATCAATATCTTCAAAATAGGAACATCAATTATTCATAATCAATAAAAACAAATATAATATAAGTAGAGAGAAAACAGTTGGCATAAAAAAAAGAAATAATCTAATCTATTTAATTAAATATAATATATTAACTTTTAAAAATTAATTTTTACTGTAATTATTATCAAAGAATTATTTAAAAATATCGTATACTGTCCTACAATACATCATATCAATGAAATATTTTATATTTATCTTATTAACATTATATTAAAAAATATGTATGTATTAGACACATAAAACTATATGTAATTAAATAGTTTGCAACATAAATTTTGAAATGTTCAATAAAAATTCAATAAAACAATTTCAACTCCATTATAACTCGGATTGATGTAATCCACATCCATTAACAAAGTAAATTTACTTTACTTTCTTTAAATAATATTTCAAAAAAAAAAAAGAAAAATAATATAATAGTGTACTGATAAACCACATTTAAGGAACATGATGTTGTTACGCAAAACTGAGAGTCGTACATAAGGTATATCTTATTTGTTAATTCACAATACATTTAGTCAATTATTTTAATGTTTGAAAAACGTATGACAAGCTTTCCAATTAGCATTAATTATAAATCATAAGCTAATAGTCAGTAAAATTACAAGCAAGTAATCAGCACAATCTCTAATTAATTGTTTCCCTATTGATTGGTTTTGTCGTATCCTTGCTGTATACGCGTACTCCATTTTCGCCTGTTACGCCATAATTAGCGAAATGAGTATTAGTGTAATATACATTCAGTAAAAGAACATATATCAATTTAACTAGTGCACGTGTAAACATATTTAAACAAAATATAACAAAACAAAATACATCAAAATATAACAAAAAGTTAATATTACAAATTTCGATTATCAAAAATATAAATACTACTCGCACACATAACTAATTGAGTTTTTGTTTCAAAATGTAATATAAGAGAATAAAGAGAATAGAGAAAGCTCGCTATAAGCGGTCCGACCGTGGAAACTCAGTTTAACCGCAAGAATAATAATTAATTGATATGGTTCTCCAGCCAAAGCATCGCCCAAACGTTCAACTGGCAAGACCTCGTTAAGGGAATTAAATTCGGTGATGCAGACTGGATTATAGCGGTTTCCAATTGGACACTAAGTTAATGCCAGAGATTAGCGGTGGAATCTTGCGATAGTAATGGATGTTCTTCTCATCGAAATCAGCGATAAAAATTTTACTTTTGCCACACAAAACATTAAAAATGATTCGCAAATATTAAACACCATCGACATTAAATGCCCTTGTGAAAATCGATTGCATCGCTACACATATACACATGCATAATATTAAATAAGACAATAGCAATATCAAATATTTCGTTGATGTGATAAACAAATACGGTATACATTTTTTTATTCCAATTACAATAATCATTTTTGGAAAATATTGTTTATTTTTATATAATTTATATTTCTATGGCTAAATATCGATACTTTATATCGAATGAAAGGGTAATAGGGAATGGCTTTAGTTAACGACCGTTTAAGGGATGGTAGTAGTCGGGGATGGCTCCGCGCTCCGTGACTGAGAAGGGACGTATGGCCCCGAGGGTTAATAGATGGCCAATGTCCTTGCAGACCGAGGTCAGACACTGTGTCACCCTCTCGTCATTACAAATGCAGATTGGACCTCCTGCCATTACCTTGTTCCCTATCTAATCGTTGTCATCGGGAATGACTACGGACGCACAAAAAAAAATTATCCGTTGGCCCGGCTTTCAATCAGGATTTGAGCCAGTACATTGACCAACGTTGCCACGGAAAGCCGAATTTGTCGCGCCTCATAGATTGACGATGCGCGTTAAAAGCTCGTTCTTCGGAGTCCCGTGATCCCGCTGAATGAGAAACGATAGAGATGACTAACGAGAAAGCTGCTGGGTGATACGTTTTTAAAACTGGATAGATTGACATTTTCAAATTGGCATCCGCCCCCCCCCCCTCACACATACATACACACACACACACAAATTTTTTTTTATATAACTGCAAATAACGGCAAATTAAACAAAAATTCAAGAGGCTGTTCCAATTAATAAACACACTAACATCCATGAAAATAAAAATTATGAAAAATAAATATTTATCAATAATCGATATAAAATTGTATTATTCGATATGAATTATTAACATAATTAGACGAAATAAGATTTCTTAATTCTTTTAATGCACATATTATATTTAAATTAACATTTTAATTTGTAGAGAATATGCGCAATTGCTGGTCATATTTGAGTTTAATGACCGTAGATAAAAGAATGTAA